TATTATTGTCTAAGTCTATATTATTTGAGTTTTTAGTATTGTTTATATATGAAGTTGTAAAGATAAGTTCAGATACTAATAGATTGTATAATCAAATTAATTGTTAAAGTTTTTATATAAATATAGAAGAAGCACTTGATTATTAGATAGGTTGTTGATTTTTTGTACATATTTTATAATAAGATTTGTCATTATGTAAGACTGTATTTGTTGCTAAATAATGTTATTTGTTCATTTTTTTGCAAACAATAGGCAAGTTGCATTTAGCATAAAAATAGTTGTATATAATAGAAGAAAGTAATATTATAAGTAATGATAAAACAAATTTAGTAAAATTTATAATATTATTTGCTAGAATTTTTTTATCTTTAGGTTTTCTAACAATAGTAGTAGTTTTATGTTGTTTGTAGATTTGGTTGATTGTTAAAATAAAATAAGTATAATATTTGCTACAAAAGCATATAACAATAAAACTGGATTCTGATATTTTAAAGTAGTGTCTATTTTTGGTATTAACTTTGAGTTTAGTAGTTATACAGTTGTTTGGTTGTTTGTTTGCAGAAATAAAATAAAACATTATATGTTTACTGTATTTTTATAAATACTGATTTCAAAACTTTTAGAATACTTCTGATAGAAATAATTAAAATCAATAATATTAGATGCAGTTGTTATCAAGATTAGTATTTTATTTTAAAAATAAACTTTTAAATATATTTTATAGAAAAATTTATTTAATTTAGAAGTTTTTAGACTAGTTAGAAAAGTTTAAAAAACTATATAAGCTTTAGATAAACTAATTAGATGTTTAGAAAATTTTAATAAATTTCAGAAAAGTAAAATTCTAAGGCAGTCTTATAAATTTTTCTAAAATACTAATGAAAAAACCTGCAAAAAACATGTTTTTATTTTTATTTTTTGCTTGTATCTTTATGAGTTTTGGTTTGTTTTAAATAAATTATATATCAAAATATTTATTTTAATAAGCTAAACAACTTTTAAATAGATAAAAATATAAATTAGTTAATAAAATTTTATATAAATAAATAAAAACCAAAAGCTTAATTTTTAAAACTTTTCTTAATATTTAAGTGTTATTAAAATTTAAAACACAACTGTTTAGAAGGAAAAAAATGTGCTAAACAACTTTATTTAAAAGACCAAGTAAGGTTTACTTAGTAGAAAGTTAAGAAATAATTAAAGGATTTTTATAGTTTTGGTATAAATAATCTATAAAAAGAGTTATTTTAATTTTGCTATTAATAAGATTGTATTCTTGTAAAGTTATTTAAATTTTAATATTTTTTATTTATTTTTTTTTTAAAATAAACTTTTTGATCTTTTAATTTTTATTAATAACTTTTTTGATAATATGATTTTATAAACTATTATAAAAAGTATATACAATTAATTATATATAACATTTTTATATTATCTATTTAAGAAATCTAGTTAGAAGTTCTTTACTAATTGCTGTATCTAACATTTTTATTTGTATATTTCATTTTAAATCTTCTGAACCTGAATCTGTACTAACATTACTGAATTATGTTCAGATTATTGTCTTAATCTTAAAATTATTTTATTCTCAAAATAAACCTTTTAGAGTCTTTTATATTCATTTTTATAGTTAATTTAGATATTATTATAACAGAATCAACACTTGTAGTCAAGACTAGTTATTAAAAAAATATTATGTTCTTGTAGAGTTTATTAGAACTCCAGTATTTGCTTCATAATATATCTTTAGTATTTTTAGTATATTTTTGTCTGTTCTTTAGATTTTTAATCCAAATAATCAAGTAAAACTATGATCAGTTTATTGGTTTATTAAGTTGACTTAATATTTTTTTCTTTTAGTTTATTTTGATAACCTCTAGAGGTTTTTACCTATTCAGGTACTTTGATATTGATATTCATCTAGCTTTTATAACAGTATTGTTAAAGATTTATATTATTTCTTTACTTAAGTTTTCTTAAATAAACTTCTTGTTTCTTAATTTTAATCAATTTGTACAGTTATAATAATTTATTTAGAGTTTGCATTTTTCTGTATAATTCTCTACTTACACAGATGCCTTATGATTTGTCAGTTATACTAATGTAATTACATTACAAGTATTTTAATTATTAAAAACAATTATTATAATATAAGTATTATATAAATGATTATTTAAACTTTTAATATTAATAGAATTTGAACACTCAATAATTTTACTAATTAATTTTTATTAATTATTATATGTTTATATTTTTTTTACTAAACATATTAGGCTAGTTAAATCAATAGTCTTTAAATAAAAAAATTAATTATATTATATTTAAAGTATTTAAAAATTGTTTTTACTAAGACCCAAAAGTGGTTTATTAATAAAAGTTTACATGATTTTTGCAAAACGGACGTTTTGGTTTGAATTTTTTACAGTACACCAGATCTTGATTTCTGATTGAACAATTGATCTCTGATATCACGTAAGTGGCGCTAGAGGTGTGATCCGTTCAAATCCGGATGAATATTCGTTCAATCCTTATTCTTGCGGATTGATCTGCAATCCGCATATTTTGAACGGATGATCAGCGATCCGCATATTTTGAACGGATAATCAGCGATCCGCATATTTTGAAAGGTATTTTGTTGAAATGATTGAACGGATGATCAGCAACTCGCATACGGATTGAACGGATTACACAAGAAAAATCCGGATTATACGGATTACATAAAAAATCCGGATATCCGGATTGCGGATCAACGGATCACATCTCTACCTGGCGCTATTATTGAAAACGGCGAAAATTAATTATAATTTAAATTAAAAAAATATATGCATTATACATAACGATAATAAAAGTTATGTCTAAGATAATTATATAATAAAAATCAAATGATTTGAATGACTTTTACCATTCTTATGCCGAGTTTACTAATTTTCTTCGAAGTTCTATAAAATTAATTACTAATATATATAGATAATCTGATATATGAATAATTAGTAGAACCAATCAGAAGTATAAAGGAAAATTAGTAAACTAACCACGCCGGTATGGAGTGGGTTATACGTACTTCAGTACCATACTTCATTAACATCCTTAATACCAATACATTCATTTAAGATTAATTTCTATCGACAATCACTGACGATCACACTGCACAAATTTAGGTTAGATCCGGAACCAACTACATGGATATTAGACTAGTAATACCAGGCAAAAAAATTTCGCACATCATGTGGTCTTATTAAACATTTCGCTATTGGGTATTGTAAGTAGGTTAGTTTTAGAAATTGTAGTTATACGTATTAAAAAGTTTTTAGATTGGGGTATCACCAATTAGTTTAATTACAAGCATAGTCGAAGTCATATCATATAGTGAAGATCAATAATAAGGATTTTTGCCGGCTATCTTTCTGAATAGTAAAAACATAAATGTTAATAACTTCTAATCTACTAAATTTATATTATATTTATTGAATTCCTCTTCATGCGTTCTTTAAAGTAACAGAGCTATTTCTTATTCTTCATATAAGTTAAACCAAAAATAAAATTTAAAATATAGGGTGAGTCAATAGAAACGCACTATATATTTTTTCTAATTTTTTTAAGACTTTAAACAAGGATAACTTGACAATAACTTAATCAATTTGATAAAAATTTTTTTAAAACAATTCTAAAAACTTGTAAACCAATTTTTACTAAATTTGATTATGTATTTGCTAAGTTATTTTTGTAAAAATTTTATTAAAAAAGACATGGTGTGTTTCTACTGACTCATTCACATATGTTTTTACTATTAAGAAAGATAGCCGGCAAAAAATCCTTATTAACTATATGACTTTGACTACGTATCACTATGTTTGCTACGTATTACAAATGTTTCCATAATTCTGGAAAATCTGACCGACCGAATATTTGTATGTTTTGATAATCATTTCCCATGCACCACGTTACGTTATTGCTAAAGTGTCTAGACTCCTGGTGGGGTCTGGCATATAGGATCAGTTTAAAGTACGTACTTTTTTTAAGAATGTAACATTTCACAAGCAAAAATTAAACCCGTCTCTATCTTCGAAGAAATGTTAACAGTTACTACGCAAAATAATCCCACAACCGGAGGTACCTCACTTGGAAGGTGAAATTTCTACATATACTGTAACTATAGAACTAGATCGTTTAAAGAAAACCAACAATACGAGCCTTTTTTTTAAAATAGATAAAGTGATTTCTAAGTTAAAGAGTTTTGAAACATAAAGAATATTAATACATAAGAATGGAATTAGTAATAGGAGTGTTTAAAAACTTTATATACGTACATATATAGAGTGCTTCAACAAGTCTTATCATAACAAAGATTTGGGTATATAATAAATTATAGATCTTTGAATATAGTATCGTTAAAAGGTTGATGTCACATGTTGCATAAATGACCAATAATAACGTGTTATTCAATTTCATGTGATCAATCAATCACGAGAAAGCTATTTGCACCATACCCGACAATCTGCGCTTATAAGATTCTAGAATACTGGTCCTTATTTCCACGTGGGTAACACAAAAAGATTTCATATGAAATTTGGTAACATATGCACTATACCTTTAATTTCATGCAATCGGATGATTAACTGGTGGTTCACATTTTACCTTATGAGGATTTGTGGTTCCAAATGCAATCAACATTTAACTTACGTTGTAAAAAAAAACGATAAAGAATAGTACTTGTGTCCCAACGAAAAACGCAACTGGTGAAAATTTTCTTCCTCCTTGAACTGCCAAGCTTCACATCACTCACTCATTCCATCACATTCATAACCTTTGTTAGCTTTGGGTAGTACTTTCAAACTGTCACCATCTAACAAATAAAAAATTATCTTCGAAACTTACATCATAGCACCTGGCAGTGTTATTTGGACGGTTTTACCGCATTCTCGGCTAAAACTAGGCTGAAACTATCCCAACCTTCCGAAACTTGAATCATCACCCTATCCGCTTATCAAAAACATTTCAAAATGGGGGGAATACTTTCAATCTTTTGCAAAATAGGTGGTGACACTACGGTACCAGATTTGAATCTTGACTTTGAAAGTAAGTAATAGTTCGAACGGAGAATGGTTTAACATTTGCTGAAACAATAACTTTTCATAAAAGTAGTCGGTGGCAAAATTTGGATTATGTTATTAACATTTAGCTGGTTTTGGTATTTATCATAAAAAGATTAATAATAATTTAATAATTAGAGTCAAAAAAAAATAATAATTTATACACTTTAAATTAGACCCTTACGTGTTTACTTAGATAGCATATATCATGGAATTACTTTCTAGTAGTCATTGTTAATGTTATGATGTTTTCATTGAATTTTTAACTATTATTAACGACAAACTCTAACATCCTAGACGCCACACCAACACAGGCAGAATTAACTCTTTATGAACATGTTTCTACTCTTCTTCAACCCACTGAAACGCTTTTGGATTCTTTACGGCGCTATGAAGGATGTGGTGATCTAATAAGAAAAGCAATATCCAACCCAACATCTGATAATGAAGAGGAAGCTTGGCAGGCTGTTCAACCCGTAGTTGCGAAATTAAAAAAATATTTTGAATATTCAACTTCTCTAGGTAAGAGTTATAATAATTTATAATAAGTACTTTTAATGGTTATTAATAATTGATTATTTATTAGGAGATGCTCTATTCGAGTTATTAAAAGTACTCTGTGAAGGAAATGTTAGAAAAAATATTGAACAGCATCAAGCACTCACAAAGCTATTTGCTGATATACTGGACTTTGCATTTGAGTTTGACTATCTGAAGGTTTCTTAAAGGATAAAAATAATATATATCTATGTTACTCTGGTTATATCGACATCTGACTATAACGACACTTTTCAAATTTGGTTAAACTGACATTGGATATATCAGACAAATTCTTTTTTTATTTTTTATTTTTTGAGATGTCGATATAACCTGAGTGACGTGTATTTAGCATTAATGTTTAATTTTACAATAATTTATGTATATAAAATACTAGATGAAAACGCCATCAATTCAAAATGATTTTTCCTATTACAGAAGAACACTGAGTAGAGGAAAACATACAAATGAAGTAAGTCTTTAAATATTATAATTTATTTTGTTTTTTTCTTTTACTTATTTCGTTTTACAACTTTAGACAGATTTGAGAACGGCTATGATTGAAGATGAATTGGCGAACAGAATTTCCTTGTTCTATGCATATCCAACGCCGATGTTGAAGAACATTACAGATGTAACTACACTCTTTGTCGAAAAGGTAAAAACTATATATACATATATGTATTTAAGTTTACTAAATCACAACAATGGTGTTCAACACCATAATGATATATCTCAAAAAACTAGCTAAATAACCAATGTTGGATGTAATTAGTAAAAGTGTTCATTTGCAAAACTATTAAAAAATATATGTATATATGTGATGTTGAACACCACTAGTGTGATTTAGTGTTATTGATATATATATATATGGTTATTAATTCAGTAAAATTCTAAAAAAAATTACAATTTTTTTTCTCGTTTCTAGAACAGTTTTGGGAAAAGTGTAACTGAATGTTTATCGGGGTTGGCTGCTGCATGTTATTATGCAGTTACAAAAAAGAGGTATGGATATATTTAATCTGTGACTCGTTTATGAAACCCATTTTGAAAATTAATAATACGAAACAAAAACATCTACAGAATTCAAAAACCAGAAATGACTGCCTTTTGTCTAAGGGTGATGGTTGTGTCTATTATTTTATATGATCACATTGACCCACAGGGAGCTTTTAATAGACATTCATCTATTAATGTATGTTATTGTAATTTTATATTTTAATGATTTGAGGAAGAATACTTGAAGAATATTAATAAAATAATATATGAATTTACACAGATAAAATTATCCGTAAAGGCAATCCAAACCTACGGCTCGGATGAATGTACAAATCTGATATCTGCTCTACGTTTCAACACCAAACATCTGAATGATGACTCTACCCCTAGAAATATAAAACAATTGCTGAGCAGTCACTAAGCTTTATGGAGAACAAGAAATGTTATCTTTATAATTTTAAATTATATTCTTGTCATAATAGTAGCTTTGGTGATTATTATTATTTATTAGCTGTGTAGTACTTCGATTGATTTTTATTTGTGTTGAGATAGATAACTAAAGTGGGCTGGACCTGCTGCTTATTTTTATTATTATTATTATTTTATTACTATTATTTTTTGCCTTTATTTATGGCATTAAGTGAATTTTTTTTATGATTTATGGGCAGGCAGGAATTTCTAAAGCCTTCTAGATTGAAGTACAAAATAATGTTTGATAGTATGTAGGTAAAGTATACAATGTTTAATCATGAATCCTCGTCCATATCTGGGAATCATTAGCTGTGCGCCATGGCAAACGATATGCTTCCCTTAACGATTAATTGATATACGAGTATAATAATTACGTACAATAATCTTAATCTTCGTATGTACCTAATTTATATAAAACATTAAGTTAATTTGCTTTTAACCAACTTTTATGCTTAGACCCATTAATTCTAAACAAACATGATTTATTATATGAAAAATGTATGTGAATTCTTTGCGGATTTAAATATTCCAACTGTTGTGAGATTATTAATCATATACAAGTGTATTATAAAAATTCTAGCAAAACTTGATTCCTATACATCTAGGTAGCTTCTGAAAGCAAAAAATTACACATTAGAGATATAAAAACGCATGAGATGCACAATATTAGTACAACTAAATGATAATTGAATGGAATTTCGACAAATCAGCGCAATGTTCACACAGCAAATAACATATACTGGATGTTAAATTCATTAAACATATACATATTTATTTTTTTTTTTCTTCAAATCTCTTGTTCTCAATAAGTCTGTAAAGAAAGTATGGACCTCACATCCTCAGTAAATCTTAACGCATCAAGAAAAGGTAACAAATCTAATAGTGCCTCATCATGTTGGTCACTGATCCAACCCTCGATTGGTATACCGTTTTCTATTAAAAATTAATAATAAATAAATAAAATAAAATAAAATAAGCCCATAAATTTGAATAAAGAATTATTTTAATTAATTGCTGATTACCTTGGTGCATCGCATAGGAAATTGGCGAATTGTCAATTAAACATACTCTCGAAAGATCAGGCTCAACGATTGTTAGATCCTTGATATATGCTCCGTTTCGATTGGTGCATGACTGATATAATTAAAACAAAGAAAAAAAAAAAAAAAAGGTCTTCATGGAGGTTCTATCCTTTCCACATGAATATTTATAAACCCAAGTCACAAATACCATTTATACCTGGCGAAAAAATCGGTGTGAGACCAAGTTTTTATTTGGATCCAGCCAATCAATTACTGGGTCGGCATATTCAGGCATAGAGGCTGTGAAAATAACCACCTTGTACCATTCACTAACCTAGTAATTTATAATTATTTTAGAATACGATTTTATTATTTAACGCTTGTGCATAATATATTAGCTTTCCTACCTTTTTTAAAAAGTGATCCACATGTGGTCTTTTGTGGACATAATATAGGCAAGCGTGATTATCCACCATAACTTCAATCATATGTGCATCAGCCCGTGATCCCCTTGAGGTTGAATGTATCAGCGTTTCGTCTAAATCCAAGATAAGTGTTTTTGTTTTCATCAACGAAGAAAATAATGATGAAGATGTCAATGAGGTTTGGTTAACTTGTTTTATATTTCTTCTAAATCGAAGTTCCGGATTATTTTTTTGAGGTGGAATGTTTTCAGTTGAAGATGAAGCAATCTGCTGTTGCAACTGCTTTTTTGGTTTAAGGCGCGGAGAACGACGTAGTGGTGGTTGTTGTGAATTGTTATTATTTGTGTTGTTATTCGCGTCCGGTGAATGTGCTGCTTGTGTTAAATATGCATGCTCGACAGTGGAACGCCTACGCAGCCGTGCAGTTGCTTTGCTGAAAATATTTGATATATAAGTGTACAATATTGTCCAGTAATATATTATAAAATAGGAAGGTGTCGTTGAGGACGACGTGGTGAGACATTCCGATAAATTATTTTTGCTATTGACGCTGCTGTCACCAATTACTGTTGCATTCGATGACGACGCCGATGTCGTAGCGGCAGAGGGCGTTGAGAAACTCTCCTGAGAAACAAGAGATGAAGACGAAGTGGGTGCTAGCATGCTAGCATTGGCTATTTAAAATCGTAAGTATTTGCCGTGTTATATCAAGAAAAATGTGAAGATCGCTTTTATACAGTATAAACTTATTTTACACAATGCTATTACTTAAGTCTACGTCAAGATATGGTGCAATATAAAATGCAAGAACATACGTACAATAATCCCTTTATATCGGCAAACTATTGCGAGAAGACGAAAAACTAAATGAATGAGTTGAATGCTGTATCAGCTATTATAAATTCGGGTCAGTTGACTTGGACGATGTATACATATTTGTCCAAGCCACTAACAAACTTTTTAGTTTAGTATCATGTGACTAATTAGCAAAATGCAGTCGAAAATTTTTTACGATACAAAATATAAATGCATACACGATTGTTTCTTTGTAAATGCACTCTTTCTTATCTAGTCAAGAAAATTTTATGTATTGTCATATAAAGTTAATTAATTCGTTCTTATTAATTTTAAGTGTTCCAAAATCCCAGTTTACTATTTAAGTTGGATCTTTGCTAGAAATTTGCCAGTTATCCAATTTAATTTGAACCTTTTTTTTTACTTTGTGAGCTTATTGAGTTCTCGAAATAAAAAAGTTCATTCAAATAATAACTAGATAACTTGCAATTTAATTTTTATTCACAAAATCAACATAGCCTCGAAAGGTTATTTTTTTAGCAAAGATCCTATATATTTTCTTTCTAGAAAAAAATAACTTATCCAGATTATAATGACCAAGCAAATTTTTTTTAAAAAGTTGTTAGGCTTAAAATTTTTATTAGTGTTTAGTTGCTGATAAAGCTACTAGAATTTGGGATTGGAATTTGACACGGAATTTATTATGCTTATAAATAAAATTATTTTACGACGTTTGGGATTTGGACAGCAAGTATACGTGTACTTTTTTGATTATTGATAAAGTTTATATTTACTAGTTTTTATATTTTTAATTTGGGTTTGAGATGTTGGTTTTGCTTGTTATTTGGTTTATTTTTTCTACAGTAAAGAATTCTTAAACCAACATATAAAATTAAATAATTTTTTAAAATCTTATAAAAATAAGATTAAAAAGAAAAAAGTTTTTATAAAAATATAAGGTAAATGGGGTATTGTGGCGAAGTTAAAGACACTACTAGCAAAACTTTGTACTTACTATATAAATAATCGTTTTTTTTTTTTAGAATATAAAACCGACATGATAATCGGTTGTACACGGGACGCCAAAACAAATTTTGGGGTATAGTGACAAAATTGAATAATCAAGTTTGAATTTTTTTTTTTAAATATTAAAGAAATTTTTTTACTTATAAAAAATTATTTCTTACTAATTTTTTATTTAATTTTTTTAGATCTAATAGTAGTAAAAGGTTAGTTTTATTGTTTTTTAGTTTTATATATTGTAATAGAATTTACTTTTTTTTCTATATTAGTATATATTTATTTTTAGTTCTATATTATATTTTATATTTTTTTTA